GGGGTATTCTCAAAGAAGACAAACCTTTTTTCTCCTCAATTCTTCCCACATAGTGAATTGCAACAGCGTGGCGGAATGTTGTCCCAGCATCCCACCCATCAGCTTCAGCTGAGGCTGGTCCTCGATGACCAAGGCGTTGATGAAGAACATCACAATTAAGATGTCTTTTACTCTCATCGTTTTTCTTTTTTAGTTTTACTTTTTTACAAAACCCAAAAATACCAAAAAAGCTGACAGGTTTCATTTTTGAGATGAAATCTCAAAAAACAAATGCCATAAAAAACGTACTAATCCGGGTTTTAGGCTTCCTAAAGGAAAATGGCTGACAGGTTAGTTCTGGTTGACAGGTTATTACCTCACCTGTAATATTTTGTCTTTTTATTGTTTAAATTGTGGCATTATTACCGTCTTTTTACATTTTTTATTTAGATTTCTGTTTTAGTTAAAAATTAAACTTCAAACAAAAAGAAATAACAAAACATATAACATATATTATATTTGCAAAAATGAGGGCAGTGTAAAAATTAATTTCCCTTGGCAATTGCATTTTGCAATTTTAAAATCAACAATACCAGTCAAAAGTGTCTCTTTTTTCATAATCAAAATAATAAGCATCTATTTTTTGTAAAGTAGAATGCGAAATTGTTTTTTATATTGCAAGTTAATTAAATTAAAATTATGTTTTAATCGACAAACAATTTAAATTCAAGAATATATTTTTAAATGAAGGACAAACCAGGTATCTATTCGTTGTTCCACAAATATACATTATTGACTGTAGTTATTTTATAATAAAATTATTATAACAACTAGAATTGTCTTTTTTATAAAATAGAAATAGGAAAAAAAGTATTTATAAATTTTATCAGTTCGTTTTTAGTTGGTATTTTCATAATGTGTATAGTTTAAATAGTATTAGAACAATTAAAAATATTGTTGTCAAAAACAAAGGTTGGGTATAAAAACCAAAAAATTTGTCATCTAATCGCCACAATGATGAAAAACAATGTTTGATTATCCATGATTTTTCGATACTTTTCTGAGTGGCCTACAACCATCAAAAGATTTACTTAATGATAATCGATTGCTTAGCTCTTAATGTTTTGTTTCTGTTATAAAAGCAAAGAGTAATAATATTTATAAAATCAGTCTATAATAATAATAATAATAACGATTCAATATATAAAAAAAAGAATAGTATAAATTGTTATTAAAATACAATGATTGGATCACGAAGAGTCTTATTGCTTTGAAACTGTAATGATGGATTCATCTTAGAGTTAAACACTAATTGAATATAAAGAGTTCGATGTCAAACGAGAGTTAAAACACCATAAATTATAGTTACCAAAATCCTTAGTTTGCAAGGGCAGCAGACTCCTCGATTCTTGTGTTGACTTTGTTACTGCCAACCTTCAGACACGCTACAAACTTTGTGAAGACTCTTTTAAACAATGTTGTGTTGCGCAAATAGTCGTCACCAATTTGGTTGAATGAATTGTATTTATCTATAGCTTGTTTCAAGATTGTCTTAAGTTCCATTAACTTCTTTTCTAAGTTGACGTAAAGCTCCAAGTCGTTTTCTTCTATCTCACCGCATAAGAATTGGTTACAGATCTCCACGATATTCCACTTATTCTCTCCCAAAATTTCAAGTAGCAACTTACTGAGCTCCTTTGTTGTATCGTCGCTGTTTGAAAATGTTTTGAGTTCTTCCAATTCCTCAATGTAGTATGTACATACCTCAATCGCTTTCTCGACCGGCTTCATCTTAATCACTTTGCTGTGCATCTTCTGGTCGACAAGTACTTTTCTATGTGACGATGGCAATTTCATTTCAGCTGTGATTATGACTCTATTCATCCCAATAAATGTGAGGGGGAGTTCCGACAGTTCAGTCTCGTTCTCTTCGACCAATTTTCTTGACAACGAAGACACATTCGACTTCGAAGAACTCCCATCTTTCTGTGTTTCATATTCTTGTTGGTACAACTCGTCGGTTTCAAAGACAAAAGTGTTCGACGGAGTCAGTTGGACGGGCATCTTTCGAAGTACTTTCCCATTGATCACTGGGAACACCTGTCTCACAATAGTCATCCTCTTCTTTTCATCACTTGATACACTGATTTTCTTCTCTCCTATAAACTCCGTAGTAAACTCCTTCTTAGAAAGCAAAGAGGAATACACAAAGTTGTGTTGATCGTCTTCAATGTCGCCGAGGGATACAAAGAAAAACGACTCAGATGATCTCTTCGACATGTCCGCACACACTTTCGACATAGTCGCATGCACTTCTTCAAGCATTTTATTGTTTCCCGTCCGAGAGTAATACGGCATCAAAAATTGGCACATTTGGTGCGCAAACCACGGTTCTCCTTTATGGAAGTCTTCTATTGCGCTCCACGCACTTTTTAATAGTGCGTCCAGCGTACAACACGAGTGGTTCGCTATTTTAGTGATTTCTGGCTTAATTAAAAAGTCTCCAAACAATTCCTCAACAACTTGCACGTCAAAGGCATCGATGTCTTCGTCTTCTTTAAATTCTTTGATGATGTTAAAGATATAGTACATACACACGACTTCACAATTCCCCGCAACAACATATCTGTTGATGTTCAAATTGATGTTCGACGACTGGTGCATCCACGTCAAAAACAGTTTAGGGTTGTTTTTGTATGTCTTTGCATTCTTCTCAAGTAAGTCGAGCCAGTTGTCCATATCTCTTTCAGTCTTATTTTGTTCGACACTCCAGAGTTCTTCTTGTTTGCTTAAAATGTCCTTCATCATATCAACGACGTTATGCAGTTCCTTCCCAAATTCATACGTCAAATATGCACTAAACTCAATCACTGAATTTAAGAGAAATTTCGAGCTCGTTGGATCTAAATAAAATCGCAATTTCTTTTCATCGAAAATTTGTCGTGGTGCCGTCGGTGTCATGTTCCGCATACTCTTCGACTCACACACACTCATACTTAACAGTGGCGTTTTCTTTGTTGATGTTGAGAGGGTAAGGGGTTGCTTAGCATTTGCCAGTGTCGACGAAGACATCGATGAAGTGATTTTGATCAGTTGTGACGATGGGGCCGCGTGTTGTGTCCCCGCACTATTTATATTACTTTCATACTCTTCTATCAGATTCTTCCACTTTTTGATACAAAAGCTTTTACTCTCAATAAATCGGACCACATTGATATCAACATCTTCTTTCAGTTTTTGTTCAATTTTCTCCATACACTTCTTGACTTCACTGTACACCTTCTCACTCTCTTTCTGTTCAAAACGAACGCATTTTTTATTCATTTCATCGACTAACTTCTTAAACGAGTTTTGTTCCTCACTTATTGATTTTATAGTCGCTTCTATCTCCCCATTGCGCGACTGACACTTATCAAGCCAATCCTTCAAATCATTCCCATCACTCACATCGACATCGTCAGTCATCGCAAACCATTTCTCGCCAATGACACTCTCCGTAATACTTCTGTCAATCCCACTCCCCCTTTCCATCACTAAATCAAAGCCTTTGATCCCTTCATTTTGATTTCTTGTTTTAATGTAATACTCCTGTTGCGTCTCTTCCAGTTTGCGCAGTTTCGTTTGACAGATAGAGACACACTCTTTCATCTCCTCATTAATCGTCGGTTTAAAGACATTTTCCATGCGCTGAATAAACTCTTTGAATATAAAATGCATCTCCGGGTGATTCTCAACACCCAAAAAGCGATGTTTGTTATTCAAGTAGATCCACGCCTTCTTCTCAAAAGAACAGATAAAGTACTTCTTCTGGGCTTCACTATACCCTTCCGCTATTTTCAGTTCGTTGTCGTTCTCTTCAAGTCGAATCAACAGGCCTTCCAAGATCTTTTTCACTTCACACGTCTTTTTCACGATCGTTTCAACAAACATAAAGACTGAATCCGACGAGGAAGTAAATTCAGTGATTTCCTTCGTTTGCGTATCGATGTTTGCGTTCGCCGTTTTGACTTCTTCGTCGAGACTCGACATTTTGATTAACAACGCCTGCAAGTCTCGATATTCAACATCACTCAAAGCAACTTGATTTCCCAAATCAGTGTATTTCGTCTTCACGTAACTTGCAATTGCCGAATTAAAGTCTTCATTTTCTTTCATTTTGATTCGATTGTGTATTTCATCATCTTTCAGTCGTTGCATCTCAGCAATTTGATATTCAATTTTCCCATACACCAATTTCAGTAATTTGCTCATCTCTTCCGTAGTGATTGGACACAAAGGATTGATCTCTCCAATTTCATCATTTTCCTTTTGGAACTGATTCATCAATTTCACGCCCTCTCCGTCTTCATCAAGTCGTTCGACAGATCCATCTTCAAGTGATACCAAATTCATTCGATTGATCCATTTCAGTAATTGCAGGGCTATTTTCTTCCCATTCTCACAGTGGACTCGCTTCCTTTCAAAAACCTTCTTTTTGTCGCTCACTTGTTGCATTGCGTTGTCCATTAACATGTGCAATTGATTGATCTCATCTTTGACATCTTCAACCAATTTTTTCGCTTTCTCCTGGATCTCTCCTTCAAATCGTTCGGTCACATACACGTCGAGTTTCCCTCCTATGACATCGGAATATGGAAGGTACTGTAACATCACATTAAAGATGTCTCCAAACATTTCGCTGTTGTTATTCGACAACTTCACCGGTATATTTAACACATCCTCCAAACAAAATTTCACCACTTTGATCCCACTTTTGATGTATCCCACAACATCATACAACATGCCAAACTCCTGTCCATTAAACAATTGTTGCGCACTATAAACGGCGTTCTCATTCACCATAGTATGCCGAATACCATCAACCATTTGTTTCGCAGTTTTATTCGACATCTCCGTTTGACTCTTAAATTCGTCATCGAGTCCAGAGAGGACTTTTTTGAATCGTGTCGGTTCCTTATCGTTCCAACTCGCGATAACTCCCGATATCGTCAATGCCATGAACGACGTCTTATTATAAAACATAAACTCCGTTTTCAGTAAACTGAAGAGGAGTTGGACGGCAAGAGTGCTCACCATTTTTTCCTTTTCGTTGACCATATCCATTAACGCAGTTAAGACGATCTCAGTGATCTTCTCCGAGTTTTCCATGACCTCTGGAAATTTCACAATGGTGTTAAACATGAAATCAAACTTGTCACTTGCAATGACTCCATTAATTCGAATACGGAGTAACATCGTGTCATAGATCTCTTTCAAACTGTTCTCTATCTCATCGCCAACAATACTTCGCGTCGCCAGAAGTCGCATAACTACATCAATAACGACTTTTAATGCACTTCTTAAGTAAAACGTGTGTAAAATAGCCATCAAATAACTCTCACTATCAACTTCCTCTGCCGATCGATCCATTTCAGAAGTCGTATTTTCCGAGTCGTTAAAAGAGTCAAAGTCTTTCTTCTTCTTTTTATTCTCAATCGAGACCATTTCTACCATTTTAGTTGTAGTGTTTGCAACACCATCAACTATTTTCCCACACGCATTCACGACCATATTCTTCAATCCAAAAATCCCATTTTTAAGGGTCCCCGTGCCCATCCCACTCGATGAAAGGCGTCGAGAACGCTCTTTAGGTTTCTTCTTCTCCTTTTCCTTCCCTTCCTTTTCTTCAACTTGTTCCGTCTCAGAAAGAACAAGGGGTGGTGTAGTGTCTCGACTCAAATGTGGCGTTCGTTGTCGTTTCTTTTCCTTCTTTTCCTCGCCATTTCCATCACTCTTTCTTGAAAATACCGGTTCAGGCTTATCCAGTGGAGTGACTTTAGGGCTTTGTGCTTGCGGCGTATTTTCAATCTCTTCATTTTGCGTTGGCGTTTTATTGATAGACGTTCGTTTCGACGACTTTGGTGATTTGGGGGACTTCACCTTGTCTTCTTGTGGCTTTGGTTCGGGTTCACTGATTTTCAAATTGAGTGTTGAAGGGGACACCGACGACTTTGATGACATCTTTGAAGGCTTTTCAGCCGCGTCAGAGTTTGATCTTGCCGGTAAATTCAGTGACATATTCATTTCATTTTGTTTCACACGTGGACTTCTCACTTTATCAATAAGGTCTTGCATTGCTTTATCTGAATTTACAGAATACCTAGGCGTCATCTTTGGTCGGTGGTTGACTGGTTGGTCTACAGTAGTTAACGTTTCTCTTCTGTTTATTAAAGATCTGTCAAACTCAATTTCCTTTGTTTCAACTTCAATCTGTTTCAGTCTTGATTCCAACAGTGGGATCTCCGCATCGAAGTTCACAATATCCTTTGTGATCAATTCAATGAGATTCAACCGCGCCTCGTCATACTCCACATTCACATTAAACTTCTTTAAAATAGGAAGTGAAGAGATTGTGAGTGCTTGTCTCAAGTGGAAGAGTAGCCCACAAATTCGTTCCGATGTTTCCTTTGTGCAGAAATTTGTCAGTGTAGTTTTGTTGATGTTCTTTAGCACCCAAATCAATGTCGAGTAAAACACTTTCCATATATAAATCTCATTCAATTCCTTCTCAGAGATCATCATTTGCTTCTTCTGAATCATTTTTGTCACAAACGGAGTGATTCTCTCAAAGTAATTTTTCTCGTCTATTGCATACCACACTATAGGAAAGAGCATCACTGCTATATTCTCTTTCTTGTCTTGATAAAACTTATAAGTGTCATATTTCTCCACTAACGAGCCGATAGAATACACCGCCATTTTTGTTAAAACGTCCTTCAAATTGATGTCTTTGCTCTCAATTCGCAAGTCAGTCCCACTCACATCTTTGACCAATATCTTCATAAATTGCCGTATCAAAATCCCATGGAAAAAGTGTTGATTTCGCATGATATCTGGCAGCTCTGTGGTGTCCTCAAACTCCAACCTCTTTGGGCAATCCTTTTGGAATAAGAAGTCGAAATCTCTCAATATCGCCAAGAAGTCAAATCTTAGTAAATACGGCAGATTCACCACCTTCCGTTTGATATCGCTTTTGTCGCTCTTCTCGACCTTTTCATTTTTAATTGGTTTGTCGCTAATCGGTAGAATAGCAAGTGCAAGTTGGTTCATGTAGTTCTCGATCATCTCCGCTATCTTTCCAATCCGCCACCAGTACAACATCGATCGGAAGAACTTCGCAAAATAGTAATTGGCGTGTATTAACCCGCACATAAACTGACTCACATCCGTCGAGAACAAGATGACTAAATTCGCAAAGTTCTCAACTAACTCCGTTAAAATGGTGTTCTCAAAGTACTCCACATTTTTGTCGACAAAGTTTTTCTGTCGTTTCATCTTGTCAAACGCAAGACACACAAACACTATAATACACTTCTCCGCTATTTCAAGGTAAAACCACATATGATCTAAAATCACTTGCATACTCTTCACTTTAATTCGAGACAACGCAACATTCACTATCGATAATATGGTCGACGCAAACACAAGGGGCTCTGTGAGACATGGATTGAATGAGGAGATATACCTCTGCAGCAACTGATTTCGTGTCATCGGGTATTCAACAGGGCACAACTTCCCAATTAATGTCACAAGCATATTCACGTGATCAAAAAAGACTATTTCATTCTTTTTAGCGTCTTGTGGCGTTCGATTCAAATTCACCATCTTCAGAAATTCAGTGTCGAGAATCGCTTGGAAGTACTCCGTGAGAAGTTGTGTTGGGAGGTTCTCGAGATGTTTCAGCCCGACCTGATCATTCGGAGTGAAGTAATCAAATAAACACGACGAAGATGGGTATCCTGTTGCCAACGACGTGATTGACAGTTTCAAAGAAGGTCCTCTATCGGCCACGTCCAGTGTTGAAAGTTCTTTCAGTGAAGGTTCGGAGTTCGCCAATTTCACAGTGACTGTTCTATCAAAAATTGGTGTTTTCGACTCGTACAATGGCAAAGTGGCGTATCGTTTTCTATCTCTTGAAGACAACGAGTTGTTCCCAAACTCTTCGATGGTGAATACAAGAGTGGTAGTGAAGCTAATTGGTGTGGGAAGCTTCACTTTGATTTCGTCATACATCTTTACTGTTTTTTGAATGACATACGTTTGACTCGTGAAGTTCTCATTCATCTTCCCGTCCATCAAAAGAGGGTGAAACGCAAGAAACGTGTCTTTTGGTTGATCCGTATCAATTAAATGGACACTCACATAGAAAATGCCGTCCTTCTTGTCTTTCCCCAAATTTGCTTCTTTCAAGTTGATGATCAATGTGTCGTAGAACATGTTAGTAAAGCAGCACGTAACACTTCTTCTCCCAATATTCTCCAACGCAAATATATCTCCTTGGACCTTTTCATCCAAGTTTTGTTTCGTTCGACAACAGTCATATTGGTTGAAGGAGTCCAAAAAGTGGTCTTCCAATTGAAGTGCTTGAACAGTGAATTTGCCTATTATCACTTCCTTATTAAAGATATTGATGTCCTTCTTCTTTTCATAACTTGTGTTGTCCCAGTCTTCGACATTAAATAACGTCCCAGAGTAATTGAAACACATCTGTTCATCATTCGGAGTGTTCTTTTCAGTCTTACTATCCACATTCTGACCACGTTCTTCTTTCTCAACGGGTGGTAATTCAGTCGTTCCTGCTCTTTCAATCGCTTCAATGTCAAGCGGATTCACTTTTTGAGGCCCTTTTGAAGACATCCCCAACCCATGCTTGTCACTCACTTGATGAATTTCGGCGTTTTCTATTTTTGGAATTTCAAGTTTCTGGTGCTCGTCGCACGTCTCAAATTTGCTTCGTTTCTTCTCAAGCTCCCCAGTCCCACAAAACAACACAAAAGGATGTTCGATATCACCCGATTTGCTCTTAGTCGCCATAACAGTCGACGACGACTTCGTCACCTTCGGTTGTTTCGCCGTCTTCTGTGAAGTCGACTTCCTCGTATCAAAAGTCTTCTGGCTCTTTTTTGCAAGTGCTTCTTCAGTATCGAGCGCCACCTTCATCACAACGTACAGATTTTCCATCACCTTCTTCGTAGTTTCAAATACAATGAAAGAGTCTTTGGCAACTCCTTTAGTCACAATGACTCCCGTTGTATCAGTCATCTTTTGATTTGTGGTTTTATCGACAAAGAAGAACTGCACAAGCATCTTGTCGAAGTTGTTGTCGTTCTCCATTGTTATGCTCTCCATTTTAATTGCAAATTTGGTTAATGTGTTGTTCTTATCTTTGATACTAATCGGTTTAAATTCAAAGCTCTCGTCGGGTGAGAGAAATTCAAAGAGGGATTTGTCTTTGATATTATTCGAGCAATTTGTAGTGTCTTCAGACACTGGAGTTAAGTGTAGATACTCTTGTTTAAGTGAAACGTTATTCTTCAAAATGTTCTCCGAAGCCTTCGAGTAGTTATGCATCTCTGCAAATTTGTCTGACCCAAAATATGGGCTTGGGAGTGTTGAAGTGTGATCACAACAAATGTTAAACGCTGTTGTAGTTGACCCATCGGAAAATGGTTTCGACACGGCAGATTGAAATGAAAATGCTGGTATCACAGCACCTTTAGGTAATACTAGAAATTGCTTTGGTTGTGTTTTTAATACCTTTTTCTTATCTTCGTTGTACCTTTGGTCGTATTCTTTTTCTTGTTTGTAAAACCCCCAGTCCTCAGTTTTCACTTCTCCGTATTCTTTAATCAACTCGTCTTTTTTACTCTCAAGAAATTTGTCCGCATTAAGAAAGTCGTCGCGATGCAAATGAGTCTTGTCAGACCCTTTTGTCGTCTTCCGGATGTTCTCACTAATGATCTCCTTCACCTTTGCGTCGGGCATGTCGACGTGATATTCATTGCGAATGTACTGTTGAAGTTGATAAGAGTCCAGACACCCAAAGTTTTCGTGGTCGTATTTCTGATAGATGTAGTCGACGTCCTTGGCGTCTTTCTTCTTTTTCGTGGCTGGAACTTTCACCGGCTCACTCATGATAAGTTCTGAATTTTTAGTTTTTTTTCTATATTATTTAAGCATTAAAACAGTTTGAAGACTAAACTTGATATTTGAAAAAAAGAATAATACAGTTTAGACATAGAAATCGAGTAATTTATCATTCTTTTATTTAATTATTTACTAATGGAAGTATATAACAACTACTATGTTTGAAATTGGTTCATATGATATATTGATAATATTATATAACATTATAACAAAAAAATAATATTTATTTAGTGTGTGTTTAAATCAAAAATGTTTTTATATTTGAAAAGTGGTTCACTTTTTGTAGTTCTTTTTTTCTTTCCTTTTAAATTATTGTTTTATATAATTAAAAAAAAATGATGTGTAATTGTATTAATTATTAATTGTTAATTTATTATTAATTTTAATACTAATAAACTTTCGTTTTTTATTTTTTTGAGTGTGTTGTTTTTAAAATACATTGGCTATTTTTTTTGTTATTTTATACTAAAAATATTAAAAAAGAACAATAATTTTTGTTATTACCTTTTTATTATAATGTAATTATTTATTTATTTATAATTTTACTTAACAAAGGGTTACTATTTGAATGATTTTTACTTATTATTTCAAGTAAGAATAACTGAACAAAAAAACCAATAACACAAAATTAATTTAAAAACAATTTTGTGTTTTTTGATCTGTTTTTTGAATGTTAAATTTTAACAGTTAAAATATGATAAAAAAGAAAACAAAAAATAGAAATTTAAAAAGTACCTATTTCAAAAATAGAGTAACTTACCTGTTTTGTCTTCAATTGTCAATTAAAAAAATGAAAAGAATAAAAAGTCTATGATTGTGTTTAGTTCAAAACAGCGTCAAGAGCCTTTTTCACCGCTTTAGTTACAGCCTTCTTTGGAGCTTTCATCATCTTCACCTTTTCCAAAAGAGAGTCGACTTGGTTGAATCTGACATCAAGCTTAAGTTCTCGAATAATCTTGGACTTAAAGTCTTCGGGGAAGTTGCTTAATATTTCTTTCATAGCCGAGAGAACGTTACTTCTTTTTTGATCAAAAGTAGCCAATTGTTCTTCCATCATTCTCATCTTAGCTGCAATTTCAGCTTTAGCAGAAGGAATAGTGTTTTCGAAATCGAGTTTAGCGTTGTCAAGAACGTTGTGAATATGTCTGGCTTGATTGTCTAATTCTTCAACAGTTGAATCCAAAAGTGACAAATGTTGTTTGGCTTTGTATACTTCTTGGACCCACCCACCATTGGCTGTAACATCACCGAGCGCAAAAGAAAGAAAACATAACATCACTGCTAACATCTTTTGTATAATAATGTTTGTTCATTTCGAGTTTCTCCTTTATCAACACCAGCCCTCACTTATTTCATCCATATTGAATCTTCGTTACCTTTTTGTTTGTTGTTTACAATTAACAAATTGTGAAATTCCCTTAATTCCCGTACTTTTGTACCAAACACATGTTAATTTCATCATAAAAATGATTCATAATTGTAAAATGTTTCTTCAAGAAATTGTCACAAATTATAACCCAGCACTATTTTCTTGTTTGAAAAGTCTTATCAGGACATGTTAATCCTAAAAATCGGGGTGTCTAGAGTTGAAGGAAATTTGAGAGTTATTAACAAAATTTTTTTTTGGCCAAGAATGTGAGTTTCCTCAAAAGTGAACACAAAGAAACAAGAAGTTAATTAAAAAATTAATTGTCCTCGCAACATTATCAACACAAACATTCTTTTTATTCTTCTGGTTGACCATTTTCACACTCAACTTAAGTTTTTGAATTATATATGACCAATATTAAAAAACGAAAAGTATACCAAATAATGTAATCATCAAAAACAGTATGTCATTTAAAATAGATTTAAACATATCTTTACTTCATTTGGTGTTTTTTATCTTTAATAATATGGAAATGATTATTTGCTCAAATAAAACAATAATATTTATTGTAAGTTTAATTAAAATATAGGTGATCGACTTTTCAGTCAACTATATGATCATAATCTGTTACAAGCCGAGGAGTATAAAGAAAACAAAGATTGTTATGAACAAGTTTACTGTTCCACTTCTCAGATTATTGTTAACTTCATGAATACACATCCCTCCAGTTGTACATACAAAACCAACTCTGCATGTACCACAAGCAGGTCGGCAATTATCACTCCATACGTTTGTGCCTTGAACATATGATTCATTTGTAATTTGACATTCGGTGTTGTAACAGTCCCATGATTTGTGGTCACATAAATACTGATTGTCAGACAAACTTGAACGGGATAATACGGCTTTTTTCAGCGTCACGGAAGTGCCATCCTTTACAAATAATTTGATGGAACAACCATTAGAAAATGATCTTCTTTCTGGTTTAAAAAAGATTTGAACGGTCACTGCCTTGCCTTTTATGAAATATTTACTTTTCAAATTATCATCAACAGAAGTGAATGAATCATTTGAAAGGGAAAAAAAGTCTGTTTTAAAAACCATATTAGCATTAATAAATTCGAGTTGTGTTGTGTCATCCACTTCTAATTCAATAGTCATTTTTGTGAAATCTTGGTCAAACATCATTTCAGTGACATACAAGAAAGCTATTGATACATATCCTTTTCCATTAACAACATCAGTTTGTTGAAATTGAATTCCTTTTGGTGTTCTTGTTTTTTCTACTAAATTACTATTGTAGTCGGGTTGAAGGATGTGCCACTTTAAGAAATAAGCAATATCATTTGATTGTGATGGTAAAAACACATTAGTGTCTACAACATAATAACAATTTTTGGCTCTAATTGCAGGGAATCTGAAATTAAACTCAAACGTATCTGCGTCGTTTAAGTTGATGTTGTTTAATACCAACTTGTTTTTATCGAATGATATGAGTCTGAGTGAGTACTTTCCTTTGAAATTTGTTATTTCGAATTTGCCATCTTCTTTTAAGTAAAACATTTCATCTACTTCTGGTGAATACACTCTAATTTGGTTAAGAACTTGGTTACAATTGATAATTTGAATTATTGTACTTTTTTCCTTCCTTTCGATAACGATAAGTGATGGGTTCATTCCTTGGTCTAAATCTGTCGGTGAAAAAGTAAGTTGAGTAACAAAGTTGTTAGTTGCCTTTGTTTTGGGAGAGAGTTGATTGTATATCTGAGCATTCACGGCAAGTAGTTTTCCTTCCAAGTCTTCGGTGATACCAGCTTTGGTAATGTTCATGGATCCTGCTATCATACAAATAACTTGTTTCTGGTAAGGACCAACTAGTTGTAAAAATTCACCACACCGGCTAACCTTTTCCCCACCTTTAGACATATACATGTATTTTTCGTTGACATAACAAAGTGCTTTCAAATTAATTCCTCTGACCATCTTCTGATCTGGGATGTCTTTGTAACAATCAAATCTGTTGTCAATTGTAATAGCCTGATCTTCGTAGTTAAAAACAATAAAATCGTTGATACAAATAGACTTTTGAGAGTCTGCAAGTGATGAGATAACAAATAAGAGCAAGAGCATTTGAAATTAACAAAATTGGTGGGTTTATATAGTTGGAATAACCTTGAGACACCATTGGGAGTAAAACCGGTACAATAGAATAAAATGGGGTTGAAAATGAATTGGTTTTTGGTGCGACAAATTCATTCTGTTTTTACAATTAGAATTCAGTCAACAAAGGGTCATAATCAGTTAGCGAGCGATTTTTTTGCCTCGGAATGACTTCTTATTAATACCATAATAAATTTTTGGGTGGCCTTCAAAAAACACAGTGGAATTCAAAATAGGGGGTATATATAAAAAACCAAGAAATTATACAATTAATAGGAAAATTAAACATGAATCATTTTGGACATTTAAGTAGTAAAACTTTTGGATTTTGACTCTTAGAAAACCAAACTATTGAAAACAAAAAGAAGTGGCAAATTAAAAATAATGGTTATCAGTTTTGGAAAGTTGTGAGAAGTTACAAAGAAAAAAGAAAAAAAAACAAAAAGTGGTAAAAAAATAGTGGAGTTGGATTTGATTAAAATGATAGTTTACTGTAAAATTCACAAAAATTATAATATTATTTCGCAAGTTAATTATAATTTTTTTTAACAACAAAGAATTGGTTTGAATTGGACACTCGACAGGAAGCTTCTTTCTATTTTTATAATAATATATAACATTATTTATTATTATATAACAAAACATGTGAAAAAGTGATATTGAAACTTATATCAAATAGTTTAAATGCTATAATAAATTAGTTATGAATGCTAATTTACATTTATTTTATTTATTTACCTAATCATTATATTGAAAACAAAACAAATATCATTTTTATATTATAACAAATTAAATGTATGGTTGTATTTAAAAGAGTTTAGCACTTAATTACAAAATACCAAAAATACAAGTTATAATTAAAAATCTAGAAATCAAATATAATAAATTAGTATAAAAATCATTAAAAAATTATTAATAATTATAATTGTCTCCAAACAAAGATATTTTGCAGTAAGTAATAACTGTCCTTCTTTTGTGCCTTTTTTAAACATAGAATTACCAAAAAAAAAGTCTGATATATTGCACAGAAATGGGAAAATACTATCAATAATTGTTTTGACGGTTAGAGAATAATACCTGACAACAAAAACCATCAAATAATAAACCACACTTTCTAAAAATATAGTTAAATTAACTTTAAATAATAGTTTGTTTTTTACCAAAAAAAAATTGTTTAACAAGACTTTTAAAAATAATTTGATTAATTTACAGTTCAAAAATTCCGAACTACAAAAAAATTATAAAACAACTAAAATTAAATTAATAATGATCAATTCTATAATTTTAATATTAAATTGGTTTAGTTAATTAGTATTATTTTGTATGGTTCTATTTTTAATCAAAAAAACCAGTACCTTCAAACCTGCTGATAAAAAGTTTTTAGCAAGTTAACGGCAAAAACAAACAATGATCCAATTACATTATAGAATTAAATAATGGAAGTGGAATTGAGTTTTCGAAGATGCCTCGATTTTTCCAAAACACATAAAAAAACGATTAATTAAAAATAAATAAGTAACAAACTCTCAAAAATTTTCATAAAGCCATCATTTATAATTAAATTAACTTTTTGACCTGTTATAATAAAAAAAAAGACATTTTGTTATATTTTAAACGTCAAAAATATAATTGAGTTAATTATAAATAGTTTATAATAAAATATTTGCCTTTATTTTGTTAGTTATTACTATTATTATTTTTTTTATTACGGAAAATGATTATCATTATTAATTCTTATTATTATTCACTTATTAAAAACTATTATTTTTTATATTTATTATTATTTTATTTATTAATTAATTATACTTTTATACTAATAAAGTATTAATATATATTAATAATTATATTATAATATAAACAAAAAAATAATAATATTTTTATCAAATAATTTAGTAAAAATGACAATTGAAATTAATAGTTAAAAAAAGTAATAATTAAAACGAATAAAACTATCTTTGAGAGAGAATATTTATAATTCAAATACTATAATTTGTAATAATTAATAATGATTTCTTTTCTTATTGAAAATACTAATCTAATAGATTCGACAACAATTAAAAATTCAATGAATGTAACCAAGATACGTGGATAATACAACTTATCAATCAAAGCCAAAAAGAGTAACGCCGCCGTCTGTAGTTGTGACTGCGGTTTCAAATCCGAAGTGAGAAATCGCCATATTGATCACTGGATTAATTCTATGACCAAAGAACCCGTCATAATATTTAATTTCTTGTATAAGTCGTGCTGTCTCGCTATTATATGTTCGAATAAATTGCTCACTACTACCAACAACAAAGTATGAAGCAGATGAATGTGCAACCAAACTTGTTAAACGGGGGACCTCGACTGTTCTCAACTGACTTGTTCTCATATCAATGAGTGCAGCAATTGACTTATCATTTCCTCTCGCAACAGCCCCAGCAATCACAATATTTCCTGATGTAGGTCTTGAAGCGCCTATAACTGGTGAATGTGAAATTTTCCAAGTCTTAACTTCTCTTTCTTGTGGTTGACACCGCATATCGAATAAAGTGACTTTGCCATTAACACTCCCAACAACAAACATATGATCTGTAAACTCATTGTATTCATTCACACATGTCACTGAAGACTTCATCCGGATGTTTCCTTCCAATTCCTCTTTATATAAGTCCCATATTCGAATCATGCTATTCCCCGCGGTGAGTAATTTGGTATCCCCAAGACTCACTACTTTGCACCCAATGTCTGGTAGACACTCCTCCATCACTCCTTTGAACCCCGAGACTAACACATTCGACCCATTGTTATCCCAATCTCGCCAAATACGAACACTTCCATCGGAACTTCCCGTGACTAATAAAGGAATATCAGTGCGATTGATCCACGCAAGACCAGTCACGTTAATGTCATTACGATTTGTATTGTTCCAGATATTGACGACGCTCTCATCACTGGTGTCATACACTTTAATTGTCGATCCTTTGTTCCCAGCAACAACTAACAAAGGAAGAGTGGGGTGGAAGAGCATTGTACGTGGGTTAAAAGAGCTGTCCTCTTCATTCCCAAGACGGCCCACTTGCTTCAATCGATGCACCTCAAATTCAGACCCAATTAATGTGAACTGTGTCCGCATTTCTAAGTACTGTCGGCGGTACCACATCGTCTTAGATGATATCTCAACTTGCTTATTTAACAGTGGTTGCGATAACTCATACACCCGAGCTTCATATAATCTGACTGTGATGTTCGTTAATTGCGCAATTTTCCTTTTGGGAGACACAGACCGCAGCTGCTCATCCTTCATAGAATACACTTCTAAAATCCCATTCAAGATCTCGGCCGCATTGCACACGTCCATGTCGGGGTCTTGTAAACACCGCTCTACTGTTTGTTGGAAGATGTCAAAGTCATTTGCAGAGCCAACAAGTACTTTAGCAAGGCGCTGATATAACACCAACAAATGCTCTCGTACACGAGGACACGCGTCGTGGACGACAACAGCGACATTCAACACAACTACCTTCGGGAACTCTCCCAAGTCTGCAATTGGCTCACTAAATAGGGTTGTCAAACAATTCAGCAGACTGACTCGAACACGGGGTGATGGGTCCATTAGCATCTTAATAGCACAATCGGTGACACCTTTTTTGAATGCGCGTATCTTGATCTCAACACACCCTTCCCAGAGCTTACTTAGACATAATAGAGCCCACGACCGCACTTCAACGTTCTCACTGTTCATGTAGAACGTGATGATAGACAAGATGTCTTGTTGGATGAGTGTTGTTTTGACTGGGGTGTTGTCTTCGAGTAATGTAGATAACACAAAGAAGCAGTACTCGTTGGTGTTTGAATTGATATTGCCTTGGTTGTTCCTCAATATGTTCAAGAAGTAGAGCTGGTGATTCTCTCGTATCAAGTTCTGATGGAACGTCTTCTTCTCGTCGACTACGAGAATCTTCATCCAACAGAAGACTAAAAATTCAAAGTAATCAACGGAGGTCGTCGAACTTAATAACTTCAGAATATAAGGGAAGATCCCAACTTCAAGTGCTTGGTCACAAGCCCATGGCCCTAAATCTAAGAATCGACAAAGGAGTTTGAGGGCTCGTTCTCTGAGTGTTTGTGACAAGAGAACTTGTAACAAAATAGGAAGTTGCTCTGCTGTGCAATTAACGATGGAATCGGACTGGAGCCACACTTCAAACGCGACTAATTGCTCTTCAAAAAAGGAAGACGTCGAATCGTTGAAACTGCTGCAATGGTTGTTGATTTGTAACAAACAAAGTTCAAGCGCGCGATCCCAAACAACCCATAAATAGTGATTGGAAGCATCGGGCAATTGTGGGTATGATATCGGTTTGCACTTCAAAGACTGCATCACACGCTGCGCCAAAAAGAAGTTTCTGTACAAAGATGCAATTAACAAGTCCTGTCTAAACAACTTGTAAAATAAAGCTATAAGTTACTATTGTGTTTGTTACAAACCAACGTGCAACGGTGCTTGTACACAGCAGTGGACTGTAACATTCGCAAAAATTGAAATAGTTTATTTATAATTGTTATATTAATAACGTATAGTAAAATACAATTCAGAACAACAAACACCGAGGGAGGACATTCCACGCGATGGAGTCGGTGACGGCGGTGAAAATCCAGTTCAACTCTCCGAGAGGAGTTCTTCTATTGTTGAGAACACCTGGAATTCTGTCGATGATTTGTGGGTCCCAATTCATTAACAGTGAATTTTGGATATAAAAGAGCACTGCGACTCTGAGTGGAGTTGTGAGACACGATGTAAACAAGTCTGCTGGATAAAAGGGATTAGTTGGCAGCATTTCGTCGTCTTGGCACGATGCCAAGAACATGAATTGGTCTGTGTTTTTCTTTGATTTTTTTTGCTATAAGTTATAATACAATTATAAATAAATATTGATATAGTATAAATATAATATTAATATAAATATAGTACAGAGTGTTGATATGGAAATCAATAGGAACAAACTTTGCTTTGTGAATACTTCTTACACCACGTGATAATCCTCCCTGCACAATTACAATCGAAAATGTAAATACTTGGTGCGCCGAGTGTTTGTAACAACTCATAAATTTGTAAAGGGATGTATTGAGTGAACTCTTTATCGAAGAACCAAATCTCGCCATTCAGAGTCGGGAGAGGAACGCCATGTCCATTATAATGAAAGAGAATTCGATCTGAATCTGCCATTCGTCGAAAGGTCAAACACAGTCTTCTGACGTCTTCATATGTTGGATCACAACAAGGTTCTATTTTCGACCCATTTTGCCATGACCGGTATTGGTCAGAAAGATTGGCCGCTATGTCATACACCAACTTCCGATTTGTCTTCCCAGCAGTCTCTGTCCAACACTCTTTGGAAGCCGCATCCTTCTGTCGGACTTGATCGGGAGACTCCGTCCCGATGTTAAGGCACAACGCCAATATCAAGTGAATCGTTTTGACTCGCTTTGTGTTGATGCCGATAGTCTCGTCATAGAAAAAAGAGCGTTGCGGAAGGGGAAGACTGTAACACGTATTTTCATATACAATTTTGATGTCCTCTTGGGGACTTTGCGCAGTCATTGGTACGTTTTTCAATTGGAGTTCATCGGCTTTGGTTTTTTTTTCAGCGGAGAATGACCAGATAAATATCTTTTAAACAAGTTTTTTATGACGTGGATGTGTATTTGGATGAATGAGAAAGAACTTGAAAAAAAACAACAATACAACTAAAAGCTAATCAAAGAGAAAAATGTGTGGGAATAGTTAATTATTTAATATTGGAAAAACTATTCTTATAAGTTAAAAAAGTTAATTAGAATTTGATAAACTAATATAGTTCATTAACTGTTGTTATAAAAATATTATTAATTAAATTAAATATTATTATCATGAAATAGTATGAAATATATTAGTTGATTAATTAAAATTAATTATAATATATAGTAAAAAGAAAAGGTTATTAGATAAAGATATAATGAAATTATAGTAAATTAGATAAAATGATTTTTATAATTATTTTTTGTTTTTTTTAATTATATTTTAATTCTTATAATAAATTGATTAAATTACAAATATAACAATTCATTTTTCAAAAAAAACAAATATGTTTTTTAATAGAAAAACAAATTATAATTTACTAATATCAGTTTTTAATTCAAATATACTAATTTTTTAATCTAAAACAATAAGTATAACAACCATTTAATAATAATTTATGTTATTGATATAATATATATATATAATCAATAATTTAATAATAAATCTTTATTATTTATATTAGATATATGTTATAATTAGTAAACTAAACCATAATAACGATCAAAAGTGAATTACCATTAGATGGTAACACAAGGACTTTGAGTGAATGGCATCAAAATTGCACCAGAACACTTTGCCCCAGTTGGGCAATTCATGAAACCTTTATACCCACTTGAGCACATATAAAATTGATTATTGTGGAGTCCATCATTGACACACATAAAACCATCAGCTATGCAAATGTCAGTGTTCTCCACTTTTTTGGGGTCTTCAACACATGGGTTCTCAGTGTCAGGAACTTTATAGTCATATCCACAAGAATAATTAGTTGGGCAATTCAAGTAATTTGAATATGTACTAGAGCACATAAGAAATTGTTTTTCGTGGTTCCCATCATGGATACAGAAGAGCCCTTCACTTACACAAGGAATTGAATCCGTTTTGGTTTCACTTTTCTTTACACTAACAGGGACACATGGGTTCTCAGTGTCTGGGATTCTACCTTGATACCCACAAACGGTGTTTCTTGGGCATTTCAAGTATCCATTGAATCGTTCAGTGCAAAGATAAAAGTAATTTGAATGATACCCATCGTTCACACAAAACATGCCAGGTTCAGTGCAATTAACTGTCTTGAGTGTGTGTACATCATCAGAGAGAGTGACTGTAACTAATATAAATAACGCGAACATTTGATGGTATAATTTAGTGTGTGCTGATTTTATATAATACACAGTATTCTTATCTCCGAGTGGTTTTATCTTTTTTTCATTACTTCTTTTTTTTTAATACCAAAATGCAAAAACTCCGATTTTTTGGAAAGTGATATGTTACTTATTATAAAAACATTTCATAATATATTCCCAATAATTACACCAATTAATTAAAATTGATGGATTAAAAATAATTAAAAAAACAAGTTTTATCCTTTCCAAACTTCTATGGAAGTTTTTTGTAAACTCTTTCGTAAAAATTGTTGGATTTTTTCGTAAGTTGTGACGGTGGTTCGTTTTAAAAACCAAAACAATCAACACAAATAGATCTGACCAAATTATTTGTTTTTTCAAAAACATTGGTTTAAATAAATTATGACTTTTTTATTTCTAAATAATATTTTGTACTAGTAACTATAGTACATTTTTTAAATTTTAGAATGATATTTCAAATTATTTCATTATATTTTAGAATTAAAACTTTTAATAAACATATTTATAACAAAATTAAAAAAAATTGTCAAATAAATTATTTTTAATTATTTTTTATTTTTAAAAATGTTCGAATTGTAATAGTTTTGAACAAAATGAATAATAATAATCAATACTTATTAAACCAAAGTTAAATAGTGAAATAAAAAGTATCAAAAAAAATATTGTGAATAACAATGAATTGAACAAATGTACAGTAAATAGTTTAATTTGAACAATCTTTCATTATGTAATTCTGTTGATCAATTTCTTTAAAATTTTTTAATTTGGTTATACAAAAATATTCAATGTTTTTGGTGATGATGCAACAAAAGAACACTTCAAAATGTCACATGAACCAACACAACAAAACCATTGAAACACGAAGACGTTCAGTTACATTTATTAATATCTTTGCATACCATATATGGGGTAGTTCCTCTTTCATACACTCGTTTCCCAACTTCTATAAGTGACTTATAGCACTCCAACTGATGTTTGGCCCTTCTACAGATCTTATCCATATTCTTCATCGTCATGATTCGACCAAATGCGTCATAAGCATGTTCCTTCACCGCAACCTTTGCTATTCTTTGACATAACTCGCATTTATCCTTTTCGTTGACTTCTTCGTCGACGTCTCTTGTCGCGACTTCGACCAATTTCGTGAATTTCGATATTTGGTCTTTCATCTCGAAGATGTCCGTCCCGATGCGTTCCAAGTCGTTTCGAACATCAAACAGTTTACTCCCAATTTCTCTCTTTTGCTCAACGGAATTCTTCGAGCTATTCAGTTGTGTGTCCAACTCACTTTGTCTCACAACAAGTTCCGCGCGATGGACTTCTTGTGCGTTAATAGTCGCTTCGAAGACGCCTCTAACCACTCCTACTGTTCTTAAGAGTGACGTCGCTGTCTTGCGTCGGACAAATTTGATTTTATTGATTTTCAACGTGAGGCGATTGACTAATTCGCGGAGTTCTTGTCGCTTCTTATCAATTTGTTCTTCAACGCCTTTGACGTCTTGTGCTTTGGACAATTTGTCTTCCAACTTTTTCGCTTCTGTGATTTGGGCCTCGATTTGGCGCACCCGTTTTCGAAGTAAAACGACTTTTTTGATACGTTTGACGCCACCTTGAAGAACAGTATTCAACTTTTTAATCCCTTCGTCCCGTTTTCGTTTAATTTGAATTTGTTTTTTCCGGTTATATCGATCACGTAATCGGAGTATTTTCATTTTTAACATTTTCTGTATTTCTTTAGCTCCTTCACCTTTCGTTTTGCGCAGTTGCTCATATCGGGCAGCTAATTTGGTTAACTTTTGTTTTAATTCATTTTGTTTCATTTGTGCTTCAATTTGTATCAGCTTGCGAACCTCTTTCACTTCAGCCTCTTCACGTTGGACGTCTTGTTCAATAAGTTTAATTTTCGCTTGAATTTTTTGAAGTTTCAGTTGCTTCTCGTTCCGCCGCCGGATGACTTGAGGTACAAGAACTTTGAGTTTTTCAGATTTTTTATAGTTCGTTTCCCTCATGGTAAACTCAGCAAGTTTCACTTTGAGCTTTTTTTCAAGGGCGAGATTGCGGCGTAAAACCCGCTTTTTAGCCTTTAAACTACGCATTATCATTTGTCTATACCTATGTGTCAATGAGGCGACTTTCCTCCGAACAGCAGCAATCTGTTGCCCCATTTTTCTGATCTTTCGCAATAACATTTTTCGTTTGCCTTTTTGTTTTTCAGAGATCACCTTCTTCTCTGCCATTCCTCGTAACCTCCTCATCATGACAAGTCTCTTCTCTGTTATATCGACTTTCTTCTTCAGTTGAGATATTCTTTCAGTGACCTTCTTTCTCTTTTCAGCAAAGTACATCGTTAATTTCAAATCAACCTTTTCCAATCTCGATCGCTGGATATTCAACTCGTCACTTAACGCCTTTAAAACTGCCTTCAATGGTTCTTTCTCTGAACTTTCAAGCTTCCCCAACAGGACATCTCTCTCCATTTTGTTATATTTTTGTTCAAGTCGTCTTACCTCGCCAATTAGCATGTGCTTTTCCTCTTTCAATTCTATAAACTGTCCTTTCGTAAATTTCAAATCTAAACTTCTCTTTTTCTGCGTGTAAATCCGATTGGCCCGATTGATTCGCCTTTGCAATCCACGTAGCGTCAACGTGTTCTTTCGAATTTTCTTTTTCATTCCGGTAATCTTCTTGTTGACGTCAAAAATTTGTTGTTTGATTTTATCTTTCTCCGTTGTGTTGACGTTTTTCTTCTGACTTTGTTTCAGTTTTTTTTTCAAAATTTTCTTTTGTATTGTGACGCGCCGTGCAAGACTTTTTTCTATTTGAAGTTTTTGTTTTATCTCATTCATACGATCTGTTAAAATTTCTTTGACTTCTTTAAACCGACTCTTTGCGGCTTGTCGAGTGTTCATCGCTTTTAACATGTCACTCATCATTCGAGAAGCTTTGCTTTCCTTCTTTTCGTACCACGCAATCTCATTTGAGACAGTGTGAGTACTTTGATGTTTTCCATTTTTCTTGATATTATTGAGTTCGTCTTGCTTTTTCAGTTTTTCTGATTTTTGTTTTTCGTACTTCTGAATCAATTTTTTTATTTTCTCGATTTGGGCGGTGTTTCTTTTGACACGAGTCGCGTGAAGGGCGTCAACATTTTTCAAAAATTTGTTTTGACGTCTGAGCATTGCTGTCAAGTGTTCTTGATTTTTGACAAAATGGCTTAAATTGCCTTGCATTTTCTTAATAATAAAATCATTTCTTTTCCATTGTAAAGCTATTTGGTTATAACGGGCTTCGGTTTTCACATATTTTTGGTCCGTTTTGGAATTTTTCAGTTGGTCGATCGTTTTTTTGAGATCCGTCTTTTGTTTTGCAAGTTCGTCCATCTTTTGAAGGCGACGATTCATATTCACTTTGATCTCTTCAATCTTCTTTTTTGTTGCAGTAAGCCGACGAGTCACTTTTTGTATACGAAGTTGAATTTGGTGCTTTATCTCAGGAAGGCGTTTGGTGATACGGTCTATATGACTTTGAAACCGGGGGATCACTTTTTTTTCAAGTTCTGTTTGAACCTTAGTAGTGTTAATTGAAACGGATGTTTCCAAGTTGTTTGCTACCGGTTGTGATAAAGCTTGGATTATACAAAACAACAGTAATGTGATATATAACATGGATTTAGTAGTCTTTTTTTTTAACAAAAAACTCTTTGTAATATGTTAGTTATTTATTTAAGTTATTATACTATATATTTTACTAAATAAAAATCAAAAATAGAAATAATTAACGCAATTATTTCATATTGGTCATCAAACTATTTTTATTATTAATATATATTAATTAAATAACTATATTATGTAATTAATAATGATATTTTGGTAATTATAATTGTGATTTCGTTATATAAAAAAGTGGTGAGTTTTTTAAAATCAATTAAATTTAAAATTTATTAATTATATATATATATATATTATATTATAATTATTATTGTTTAATCTAAAACATAGAGTGATAATTTATAATATTATTATTCATATAATTATAATATAAAAAATGAAAATGAATTACAAATTATAGTCGGGGGATAAAGGGGGTTAATTTGGGACAGAAGTAGTTAATTTGAGTAAAAAACTATAAAATATAATTTCTTTAATCATAAAAGTATTAGAAGGGTTTTTTCAATTAACTACTTTGAAAATAATAAAAGAAAACTATAACTTTCTATTTTTGATATTATTCAATCTTTGAAAACAATGGAAGAAGAAGAGAAAAGAACCCTTGATGAAACAACCACAAGCAATCAACATAAAAAAGCAATTCAAATACTAAAAATCAGTTTAAAAATTGTATTTCAATATATTCATGATATATTTGGTTAAAATGCCAGAGTTTAATGAATTAACAACGGTGTCAATCTTTTAAAGTGTCACAGAATCACTGAAAATCCATCATTTGTTGAAATCTTTCAATCTTTCGTTGTTGAACCATTCCCATAGAGAAAGGAAAAGAGAAAGACCATTTTAACATTAAAACAATTGGAATTGAAGAAGAGCAGAAAAGAAATGAAACAAAGGAAAAAACAAAGGAAAAATTCTTTAACAAAACAAGTTTCAAACAAACCATAAAAGTGCTGCGTTTTAGACTTCCACATTTTTCTAAGTGAACAAATTGAGGTGTTTTTGTTTATTTTTGAAATAGAAATTTATAATTATTCAATTTATAATCATTTAAAATAAAAAACGATAATTTATATTATTATTTTAATTTTATGTTTATTTTGACCTTTAAATAGATTTATTAAAAATTATAGTTTCGAAATTATATTTATCAAAATTAACTACCTTTGTCCCTTTTTAATGCCATTTATCCCCCGACTATATACAAATAAAATAACATGATAATAATAATAATAAAATCAAATTATTTGAACAAAAAACAATACAAACTCATTTCAACTAAATCACATTTATAGTAAATAATAACAAAAAAAACCAAAATAATTACAAGGAAAAACAATGGAATTGAAATTTTAAACTCGTAAAAACTTTATCGTTCTCGAGTTTCAAACGACGATGAACTTAAAAAAAAACGTTGAAACTTTAAAAAGCGAATGTCACACAGTAGTGGAATAAGTATATCAAAAGCCTTAATAGACGGTTTCAAGACTTTAAACGAAGGGCATGGCCGTTTTATTAAAGCTTCCATTGAAGAAGATCAAATAGTACCGAAGTATACCGAGCAGGGTACTTCTGATTTTGAAGGGGACTTAGACTTAGTTTTGAATCAGTTAGTCGATGCCGAGCCGTGTTACATTTTATTTAGAACTGAAGAGAAGGATGATTTATCAAATGGGTACAAATGGCTTCTTTTGTCCTATATCCCCGACAAGTCAAAAGTTCGTATGAAGATGTTATATTCCTCCACAAAAGCCATTTTCCGTCAGACATTAGGAGGGAATGTCTTTTCCAGTGAAATCCATGGCACCGTCAAAGCTGATTTTGGGAAGAGTGGGTATGAGGCTTATTTAAAACATGAAGCCGCAGCACCTCCTTTGACTGAACAGGAAGAAGAACGTGAAAAAGAAATAGAATTAGGTACAGCGGGATATACAGTATCTACTGGGATGGCTACAGTCACTGCGTCGAATGGAGTAGCTTTTCCCGTTGAAGATGCTGTGACAGAAGCCGTCAAAAAGATGTGTGACAGTGGGAACAACTTTGTAGAGATTGGGATTGATATCGACAACGAAAAAATTGTTCTTCGCAATGAAACACAAGCAACAATTGAAGACGTCGAGAAGTTAATATCTAAAGAACTCCCTTCTTTCATATTCTTTAGATGGGACCATACTCATGAAGATAAGGAATTCAAATCTATCATCTATATCTTCTCATGCCCAGACGGAAGTCATGGAACTAAAAGCGCGCCAGTTAGACAAAGAATGTTATACTCAACGTCTAAAGGAGCTGTCGAAAACGTGTTGACTCAAAATAACGCAGAAGTCACATTAAAGGTCGAAATCAACTCACCAGACGATTTTAAGGTCGATGAAATCAAAGACAAAATTCACCCACCACCAGTGGAAGAGAAAAAAATGTTCGCGAAACCAAAACCAAAGTTCGCAAGAAAGAAATAATTTTTAGTGACTTTTTTAAGTCTGTTTTTTTAACATCTTCGGGTGTTGTGGAGAACTCAGACATTATGTTGTTTAGAGAGTGTCCTGTTGAGAGATTTATAGTTTTTATTTGTTCACTTTTTTATTCTTTTGTAAATCATTGTTTACGTGTAAATTGAAATTTTTTTAATTTCAAATTTGAAATTAAAAAAATTTATTTTGTTATTGTTTGAGTTCAATTGATAAGTTGGAGGGGCAGACCTTTCCCACCCTCACCCCGTTTACCAAAATAAAATATTTGCCGCGAGTGTTTTTTGAAGGAAGTCTATTTTTCAGCCACTGTTTGTGCGTCCCCATGTCACCCACTTTCCCTGTCAGTACTGTGTGGCCATGGATGTGGTTCCCCCCGCTTGCGGGGGGGTCAGGGGGGATCCGCGCCAAGGGAGGACTTGGAAAGTGGGTGAAACGGTGCACAAACAGACTGTTTGAGTGCGTTTTTATGAGCCTTCTTTTCAATGCTCCGTCTCACTCGGTTTCCACTAACTCGAGGTGAATTTTCAGCATTTTTTGAATTCGGGAACCAGACCTAATATTATCCAAAACGCCCATTTACTATAATTATAATTATAAAATTATAAAATATAGTAAATTGATTCTATATTTAGACGGGGTGAGGGTGGGAAAGGTCTGCCCCATAAGTTGGATTATTTTATGTAAAAATATATTTTATTTTTACATTAATTATTAAATAATTTTTTAATGAAAAAGTGCACTAACCGGGACTCGAACCCGGATCTCCACCTTGGGAGGGTGAAATTCTGCCCTTAGACCATTAGTGCTTTCTTGATACTCATATTGAAATTGACTTGTATTGAGGTTAGATATTAAACTGTTATTTAAAATTTATAAATTATTATAAATATCAAAAAAAATTTGAGATGATGCGTCAAAGTTTCCAACGCAATGTGGTCTTCTGATTATGACAAATTGTGAAATGGTGAGATGTGTCAAAAGTAATTGAAATGTAATTATTGTGGAGAACACAAATGGCCAATCACACACATGTAACAATTAAAACCAAAAGTTACACAAAACTACTCAAAGAAGTTGTATGATATTGATAACCATATGAATACTATATTATCTATTTACAATTAAAATGCAATTCATCTTTTCAAAAATACGATGACATTCTGGACACGTGAAGTGGAATGAGTCATCGTACTCTGTGTCAGTGACACCTCACCCACTCTATAAACAGCCAACTGAAAGCAAAGACAAACATTTCATGTGTGAGAAAGAGTGTCCAGCAAAGAAGGTGTATGAAGACTTTCTGAGAATTGTGCCAAAAGTGCAAGTTGGCGAAGAAGCGCCAGAGATCAAAGCGCAGTGCCTTTGTCCGTGTGGTGCAATCAAGGACTTTGACATGTCTGAGTACAAGGGCAAGTTCATTGTGTTGTTGTTCTACCCACTCGACTGGACTTTTGTCTGCCCAACAGAGATGATGGGATACTCCAAACTTGCAGAGGAGATGAATGATGTCCAGTTTGTTGGCATCTCAGTCGACTCCGTCTTCTGCCACAAGGCGTGGACTGAGGCACCAAAGGAGCACGGCGGTGTTGGAAAGCTTTCGTTCCCACTTGTTTCTGATATCAAGAAGTGCATCAGCATGAGATACAACATGTACAATGCGGCTGACGGCATTGCACGACGTGGGTATGTCATTGTCGACACAAAGGGGATTGTCAGATACATGCAAGTCAACGACAACGGAATTGGAAGAAACACAGACGAGACAAAGAGAATCATCGAAGCAATCAAGTTCTCGGACGAACATGGCGATGTCTGCCCACTCAACTGGAAACCAGGAAAAGACACAATGAAACCAACACCAGAAGGCGTTGCTGCTTATCTCACAAAACACTAATTGACTTGATTCTTCACATTGAAGTCTTTACACACCCACAAGTCAATTTCAATTTAAATATCAAGAAAGCACTAATGGTCTAAGGGCAGAATTTCACCCTCCCAAGGTGGAGATCCGGGTTCGAGTCCCGGTTAGTGCACTTTTTCATTAATTCAAAATCTTTTCAAATAGTTTTTAATTACAAATATAGTAAATATAGTTAGAAACCAATAGATAACTCACAAAAATTTACACTTTTTAAAATAACATATTTCAATTAAATTTTGTCAGTTTTTCAAAAGTTGACACTACATCCCCGATTTGTGGTCGATCATTTGGGTCTTGTTTCCAGCACATTTTTATTAACTGTCCAATGTTTTGATTAATTCCTCTTATTTCTGGTCTTTTTTGTGAAGACACAAACATTGCAATATCCCAAGGGAATCTAAAGTCTTCGTTTGGAAAAGCGTCTGTACAACTAAAACATTCCAACATAGTAATTGCAAACGAATAGACATCTGCAGACGCTTTATAATGTTCTCGATTTAAAATTTCAGGCGCCATGTATTTTGGAGTGCCTATACCTTTAGTGAAAGTCATGTTAGTCATCAACATGTTCAAATTTCTTGAAGATCCGAAGTCAGTCAATTTGCCAAATATTTTTTCGTTCAAATCAAGTGACACAATAAGAATGTTGTCTGGCTTAATATCTCTGTGTAATATCCCATTTGTATGTAAATATTGTATCCCTTTTGCAGCATCATGGCATATCCTCATTCTTTGTTGTTCACATGTAATTTCTGTATTCTTCTTGTCAATCAAGTCTTGGAGACTACCATGTTTAGCAAATTCAGTCACCATACATCGCTTATTTGGTATAAAGACTGCGCCATAGAAATGAACGATATAATCACACCGGAATTTGTCTAACATCGATACTTCACGACTAAATTCTTCAATTGCACTTGCACTTTCACTTAATCGAATGTTTTTCATCTTTTTAATGGCAACTTCATTACCTCTGAATTCACCCAAATACACTACACCAAATGAACCTTGGCCTAAAATACGGTTCTCTTTCAACTCATCATAGTCAAGTCGTGTTGTTAGAAGCGTTTCCGTCTCTATTGGGATATCAATACTCTTTTCAGAGCTTGTTCGTAAATTAATGAAAATTATAGTCACCTTAGTTTTTATTTTACAACTACACTTTGGATTGATTTTGACTTCAAATTCACATGCTTTGTCTGTTGATAAAACCACCAGTTTTGGAGAGATTTCCAATGAAAATTTTTCACTCTCTGCACAACTTAACTGGAGTTTGATTTTGTGCTTCCCATAATTTCCAACACAAATTAATTCTGTTGTCGTTTCATCTACTCCAATAAACTCGTCCAGGTCATTAAATTCAAGCCGTGTTTTGGTCACACCAAGAGGACTGTCTGGGATTTTCACAAAGCTGTAATTTGTCTTAGACATATTTATTTTCTTTACATGTTCTTTTTTGTTTCTTCTTAATACAACGAAAAGAAGAACAAGTGCGATGGTTATAAATACAATAAAGAAGAAGCAAATACCGACGACAATCCCAACAATTATTTCAATTGTCAGAAGTGATTTACAATTGAAACCTTTTAAGTAAAACCCTCTTTCGCATTTTATACACCTCCCGAAAGAAGCATGTGCACAATTTTGTACTGTATAAAGTGGGTTACACACACCTTGTAAAAGAATCAAATCATCTTTACAAATTTCACAAGTCTTGATGTTAGCACATTGAATGCATTTACTGTCGCATTGAATGCAACGAGTGCCCGATGGAAAATACCCTTCATCACATTTATCACATTGTTTCTCGCCACCATGATAACAATGTTCAATTGAAGAAGTGTTCAAACATGTAAATCCAACTTGATAGAAGTGGGTTTCGCATGAGACACAACGACTATTTGAACCGACACAATTGGAACATCCCTCGTTACACTGAATACATTTTCTTTCACTTCCAATTATAAAACCCTTTTCACATGATACACAGATGGCACCATCAATTGCTCTCTCTTTGCAGTTGTCTTTTGCATCATTTTTGTCGCACTTACCACCTTTTGTTGAATACCCCGGAGCGCATTTCAAGCAAATTGCTTCATCTGAACATTTGTTACAATTCGAAGAACATGGTTTACATGTTAAATCAACAAGATAATACGATTTTAAACAACGAAGACACCCATTTTCATTTTCTTTTTCACAATTTGGATTTAATATTTTGTTGTTAACTTTTTCAGTCTTTAATTTTTGATATACAAACGTTGAGAGAGATTTTGAAATTGATTCTGGCATTTTACATGTTCCATCAATTAAAACAAAATCTTTGTTACATCGGTTGCATTTTTCAATTGCTTTGCATATTTGACAATTTTCAGAACATTTCACACATTTCTTTGAAGCATCTTCAACAAAATATCCATTTTCACAGAGTATACATAAGCCGAAACTTGTTTTGATACATTTTTCATCTTTGATACACATACCATTCAGAAGTGTTAAGCTGTCATCACAAAGTAAACACTTGTCCTTATAACATTGTTTGCAATTTTCAGAACAACCAACACAAGTCGCATTTTCAAGATAAAATTTCTCCTTGCACTTCACACATGATTGTTGAGTTGTTTGTTTACAATTATCTACTGTAGTACAAACTCCATCTTTTAAGATGTAATTGGCTTCACACACAATGATTACCTGACCTTGTGTTTCGGCATTATAATGGCACTTTTTCGCGTTTCCAGTGCATGGAATACACTTTACATTTTCTTGATTCTTTTCATTTCTATAATAGCCATCAATACACTCTTTACAACTTGAATATTCATAAACAGCACAATTGTATTCTACACCAATTTCTTCACATTTTTTGGTTATTGGATTTACTTTTAACCCGCTTTGACACTGAAGACATCCATTTTCTTCACAAATTTCACAACCTTCTTCTTTACATTGTTCGCACTTCCCAGTTGCTGCTATTTTTATTGTTGATTTACAAGTGGTGCATCCAATAATAGGTGAATCATAAACACACAACTTTGTGTCAAAATGGTTACATTTGTTATTTCGAATTGAAAATCCATTCTTACATTGTTCACATTTTGTGTAATCTCTCAAACAACTCAAACATCCAGATTCACATTGTACACATTGTCCTTGTGGATTGAGACCATACCCCCTTTTGCAAATATTACATTTGTCATTTGAATTAAAAGCTTCTTCACATTCAGTCTTATAAAGACTTGTTTCCCAACAATAATTATCTGAAAGGAAAAATCCTTTTTGACATCTTCTTTCAGTATTAGGTGTAATACAATTACCCATTTCCACGTGGCACTGATGGCACTTAGAATCACCATAAAAAACACCATAACCAATTTTACAATTTGAACACTTTGAGTTTTGACACCTGATACACAATTCATCACTCACACAACTTTTTACGCAAATTCCATTTTCTAAATAGTTTCCTTTTTCACATTCAATGCACAAATTTGAATTAGTGGAGCATTTTATACATTTGGGAATCGAACACATTTCACACTTTCCTTCAACAAAAACATATCCATCATCACAATCCATACAACCCCATTTTGATGGGTCACACAATTCACAATGTGGAAATGATAGTCTGCAATCAGCACAAAACTGTTCAAAGGGGGAGCCTCCATTGTTACACTTACCTTCAATGGTAGGAACACAATTGTTGTTGTCGTTAGTACACTTTTCACAACGAGAAAGTGTGTTTTGCCCAAATCCTGGTTGGCAGACTTTACATTTAAAATCTTCTTGACTACATTCATAACAATTTTGTAAAGAATTTTTGCAGTCTAAACATTGTGTTTTATCATCTGAAGGAACAAATGGAGCTGTACATTCTAAACAGGAAAAATCTTCGCGATTACCCAAAAAACAATTTGGAATTGCAATTGAAGATAAAACGCATCTATTATCAACTAAGATGTACCCCTTGTCACAAAAGAAGCAATTCGAATTGAAAGTAGAACATTCACTACAATTGGGACTTGCATCTTTACATTGAACGCATTTGTTGTTGTGAAGAGAATAACCATTTTTGCAGGTAAGACAACGACTACTTGATTCACTACACATTTCGCAGTTATTATAAACCGTTTCACACCTTTCACATGAAGATGTTGTTGTTGGAGTATAACCCGTTGAACATATGTGACACGTTTCTTTGTCACATTTAAGACAATTGGCACATTTTACACATCTCCCAGCATTCAAATAAAAACCATTTTGACATTGTAAGCATTCATTTTGGCAATGAATACAACCTTCTTGTTTTTCACATTTTTCACACATTGAGCTTGTCAAAAGAAACCCTTCTTTGCAACTCGTACAAGTTAATCCATCAGAACAATACTCACAATTATCATTACACTTTAAACATATTTTTGACCCAAGTGTTTGAGTTGTCATATAATATCCAAGTTGACAAGACGAACATATCATATTCGTGGAGTCACATAAGCTACAACCATCCGGACATTTTGTACAATCGTTATATGGGTCTACATACCCAACCGCACAGTTTCTTGGTCGGTTCATATTGCTGCATGTATCAACACCTTCATTTTGATAAATTAAAGGACACTCTATTTGTTAATTATTTATTTATACATTATCACGTTGTTCTTTTAAAAACAAACTCGAACATTGCCCACTTTTTGTCAACGTGTAATATCTCTTACATTCTGTACATACAGATGAACTTAGACATTTCGTACAACCTTCATTTGTTGAATCACATTGAACACACATGTTCATGTTATTCAAAAAGTATCCTTCTTTACATGACGTACATTTATTTTCTGTTGTGCATTCTTTACATTCATTTGGACATGGTTGACATATTCCATCAAATTGAAAAGTGCCAATTTGACATTCCGTGTTACATGAAAATTCCGAACAACTATAACAAAGGTTATTGATATTTTGGAACCCTCTTGCACAAATGTCACATGTATCACTTTTACTGCATTGAGCGCAACCAGGGACACATTCTTATTATTAATTTTATTTTTTTTCTTTTTCAATTAACAAACGATAACACTTTCCATTTTCTAAGAAATACCCCTCTTTACATAAAATACAAAAATTGAGTGAAGTACACGTTTTACAGTAAGGAAGACATTCTTTGCAAGTTTGAGTTGTTTGACCTTCATTCAACAAATAATATCCAACTTCACAGTTATTACAATACTCCTCTGTTTTACAACTCAAACAACCACGTTTGCAGCCTATTATTTAGTCGTGTTAATTTAATAATAAATAAATAATAACAAACGATAACAATTGTCCCAATTTGAATCTTTATGGCATTCTGAACAACATTTTTGGCAATTTCCAACTGAACTGCAGTCAATACACTCGTCGTAATCACAGCTCCCAGAAAAAACTAATCGTGTTATTGATGCAATCAATAACAACAAAAACATTTTATTATTTGAGTTTCAGAAAACGAATAAAAACTTCAAACACAATCTTAAATGAACAATAAACAAAGTACGTTTTTGACAAATAAAAACCAATTTGATGCTAAAGCATTCAAATTTTTTCATACTGGCGAAACTCGGAATATTTTAAATTAATATTTTTTGTTTGTTGGTATTAAAACTAAATTAACTTCACTTTTTGGTATTAAAAAGTAATATTTGTCGGTTACTATGTTTTAAATTCATTTAATAATAGTTTAGTGTAAACATGTCAATTATTTAAAAATAAAACGAACTCCCCTTTTTGTTTTCTTTGTTTTATAACCTCTTGTTTCTTGTTTTCAAAACAGTTTTTTGTTTTTAATAAAAAATGAATGATCAATATGATGTTAAAAGAAACTAAAAATGATTTATAGTTTGTGTAATTCGTCAACAGAAACTTTACAACGAACAGCTTTTCCGGGGATAGCGTCTTGATACAAAAAGGTTTTTGGCTTTTTCTCTTCTGCATCACTGAAAATCGAAGAAATAGCCTTCTGAACTTCATCAAAATTGCCAGCAGCAGCAAACCTCGAATCACTTTGAAAATCAACAACAAGTGAGTTTGTTGCAAGTAAATGGTGTTTAATAGACTCAAGTGCATTATTCATTAGTGTTTTTGTTTTAGAAGAAATACCTTCTTGTTTTTCGATTAATTTGGATAACTTCTCTTTGTAGAGTAAAACATTTTCATAATCTTTTCTAAGTGTTGAAGAATACAATATGTTAAGACTTGTCATATATAAACTCACACTCACATCGTCCGTTGGGTTGTTACTATAGCATCCATTTAAAAATTGAACAATTTCCGTCTCGTAATATCTTATTTTGTGAAACATATTAAGCAAAGCAAAATCAAAAAGATTTGGTCTTTTCTTCATTTCCTTCTCAACTAAGGACATACCCACAACAAACTTCCTTTGTTTTACAAGGTGTTTGAATATCTTATGTCTCAATCGATCATTATCATCTTCTGTTGGTGCTCCAAATACATTAGCAACCATCAAACATACAACAAAAAGTGTCGACAACATGATATTTAAGTTCAATAAGAAGAAGTCAATGACCTTCACAAATTTGTCGAAAAAATGATACTTTATACCTTCCCAAAATTGCATTATTTTCACATTAACAGGTAAACAATTCTTCTTAATAATTCCATTGTCACAACTTTTAAAAATATCACAGAGTATGGTGGTTGAAAACAAACCCAAAAGTAAACAACAATTTCACTATACGACAATGCACGAGTCTTCCTTTTTTAGTAATCCATTCACATCACTTCTTATATTCTCTTTATTTTTAACAACTACTTTCGCTATTGGAAATATCACAATTTCACTTAACGGTTTTGTATTCAACATATATACAGTTTCAAGAGCATCGCACCTCTCAAATGCAGAATCTTCTACCTGCTTCACTCCATCAGGAATTTTGATACTTTTAAGCTCTTCACATAGTTTAAACGCGCACTTATGAATCACTTCAAGTTGTTTTGGTAATTTCACGCTCTCCAATTTCACGCACCCCCAAAAGGCATTTACCCCAATCGATGTCACTTGTTCCGGTATTTCTATTTCTTCCAGTTCTTGACAACACGAGAACATTTCGTCAGACACCTCCTTCAATTTGTTTGGCAATTTCACCTTAGTCAGTAGTCTCAGATTCTTGAGTGCGCCAATCTCAAAGTGGATGATGTCCATCTCAAAGACGACCTCTTTCAAATCAGAGCACTCATGAAAATTGAACGAATCGATGATCTGCACTGTCGAAGGTATAACCAAAGTCGTCAATTTGTATGGATTCTGCCAACTTGCCTTTGATAATCCAAACACTTCAATTCGCTTCACGTTACTTGGTATATCATCCTCAACATTAAAATATGAAGAGTCGTCTGCAGTCAATTCCAAGTCTCTGAATATGCCTTTGTTTCACAAGTCGAGTAAAACGGAGTGGGAGTCTGATACTAAAATCGAAAGAATCAATGGTATTCACTAGACTCAGAGATGTACACAACTGAAATACATTCACTCCCAAACGCTGTATTTTGCTAGGAATATTGATCTCTCTCAATCGCGCACAATGAGCAAAACAGTCGTCTCCAATCTCACACACTCCCTCTGGAATTTGTATTCTCTCAAGTGAACGACAATTGTCAAACGCTTGCTTCCCAAACGAAGTCACGTGAATGGGAATAGTAACACTCGAAAGCTGTGAACACGAATTAAAACAGCTCGATGGAATGGATTTCAGTTCACTCGACAGGACGACACTTTTGAGTAAGTCACACGACTGAAAACAAGAAACTCCAATGGAATTCACTGAGTCGGGTATCATGACTGACTGCACTTCACGACATAACAAAAACGCGTTCTTGTCGAGTTGAGTGATGTGTGTGGGAATGGTAACGTCAGAAAGCGTGTTAAATGTGTACCACTTCTGTCCTATGACTCGGACACTCGAAGGAAGTTTGTGGAGGATTTCGCGGTTCAATGAGACGCCGCCGCGCTTCACTTTAAAAACGAAATTTGGTATTTGTTCAAGAGTCTTGTGAAGCGATAAAGTGAAAACAACTCGTTTGTAATGCTTGGCGTCCATCTTTGGATTGCATTCGTCGTATTCGACCGGGTACCAAATGACCGTTTCGTGAGGAGAAGGTTGAATAATTGTGTTGGGACGGGGGGTATAAATATATTCACTCTCCATTTTTGAAAAGAGTTTTTTGGAAATTGTGGTAAGAGGAATTGGGTTGTAGTGGAACATAGAAGGGATTTCTTGAAACTTCTTACATACAGAAACTAAGTTGATAAAGTCGTTCTCGTTCTGCAAGAACTTGGAACAAATCATTGCAGAGTACCGATCAAGTTTTTTCATGTGAGTTTTATTAGATTGTCTTTGGAAATTATTCGAAGAGTTAATAATTGTAGTTTTGATTTTTTTAAACCAAAATAACAAAGCGCACATCCATTTTTGATTCAATTTTGTTGCAAAAAGATGTGACTTTATATTCAAATCTTTTGAATATTTCAACAATCATCATACTTATATAAGTAGTGATGATCAACTTTAATCGACTTTTTTGTATATTAGTTGTAAATTACTCTTACAAAAAGTAAAAGTATATTACATATAATTGTGATCGGTATATCTTATTTTTGAAAGTAATACATCAAATAGTTCTAATAATGATACTTAATTAAAAAATACTTTAACAAATTATAAAATTACTTTTAAAATTGATTTGTTCCATACATTTTGTTATTTTTATTTTTTATTCAATATACTATAAATAATTAATATAAACTTTCTTCCTCCAACTTTGTCCTAATTATTAGATATCAATAACTAAAATGTATCGTATCGGGAAATTTATCATAACGTCAAAATTTCATTGTTTCAGTTTTTTACCGTTTTATGTGTTTTTACCAAATTCCCGTTTTTTAGATGGTTTGTTATGTATTATTTTGAAAAGGAACAACGTTTGGAAAAAACTGACTTGAATTGATTTTTTTTTCATTTTGGTTTTATTCCACAAATAGTGATTTATTTCCTGAAAAAAACTTTGACTTAAGCTTCCCATCATTAAAAGACAAATTATGTTTTTTAGGAAAAGTACAATCAAATGTGATTGCTTTACTTCCAAATTGCTTTTGGAAGTAAAGAAATATAAAAATTCATATATAAACAACTTTTTTCAACTTTATAACCAAAAGGAAATGAATTACGAAGTCATTTATGTTATATATATGATTGTTTCACTTGTCTTATATTCATTGGTTGTTGATTTTGAAGAAAATAGTGACATAAACCATGCTATTTTAAAAAGGTTGGTTATTGTTGGACATGAAAGGCTCTACTTCAGTTGTATGGATAAAGAAAATTGGGAATTATTTTTCAATGTTATTTTTTCAAAAGATATGGTAAATTCAATATTTAATTCAATAAAAGACTTAGTACAATGGCCTGTTGATGCCTTTTGGTGGGTTATATCAATGAGATATATGTTTGTTGATGCGTATCATGAAATGATAGCGCAGGCAACATGTCTCCTGTATTATGTTTGTGTAGGTATACCAAAGCCATCATATCATGAACCCGAAGAGAAAAAGCCAAAGCCATTGGTTTATAAGTATCTCAAAGAATTAAATCCATTACCACAAGAAATACATTGGGTTCATGATGAGAAACCAAAGAAAGAAAAAGTTAAATATGTAGAGGTGGAAGATCCTGATGTTAAAAAAATCATAGAATCACTAAAAGAAAAACAAAGGATCAAAGAGATGTTTGATAAAGCAATGTTAGATAATCAAGCAATGTTATCTTCGTTTCTTTATGGATCAGATTGAAAATTCAGACGAGGAGGAAAATGGACAAAAACACCTGTGCAACGAAACATTGGATAATGGAAAACTCCAAGAATATACTTCCTAAGACTTAGGATAGGTCGAAGATTCATATGCAGATGAATCCGAAACCCAACTAAGTCGAAGGGGCTTGACGAAATGAATCCAATCGAAGACTGCTTGAGATGCAGCTCAAGCACTGCTAAGGGATAGGTTGGGTGAAAGGTTCCGAAAGGCTGTCCTGTATATTCCACTTTTCATTATTCTCATTAGATCATTTCAATGTTACGTTATACACAAGAAATATGTACAATATACTCCTCGTCTTTTGTTTTTAAATTACCGCTTTAAAAAATGGTTTATTTTTAAATTAATTATAATTTAATTGTTATAATAAAGAATAATAATAAAAGTATAATATAGAGTAAACAGTGTTATAATATGTTTATAGTTCTTTTTACAATAAAACAATTCAAATATAGAAAAACTATCAATAACACACGAACAATTGATTGAGGCCATCAACAATTTCTTCCATTGTTATCCGGTCTTTGGGATCTTGAGGCCACATACTCTTGATTAACTCAAACATTTCAGTTGTCATTTCAACAGTCTTGGAAAGACGCTTTTTGGAGGTCACGAACTCTGCAATACTCCACGGGAACTTAAACTCTGAAATAGGATATGCATTACACCAGCCTAAACACTCATAGACTGTTATTGCAAACGAATAGACATCAGCCGGCTTTTTATATTTCTTTTTGTCGAGTATTTCAGGAGCCATATAAACAGGAGTGCCTATACCTTTAGTGAAAGTCATGTTAGTCATCAACATGTTAATGTTTCTTGAAGATCCGAAGTCAGTCAATTTGCCATTTACTGCGATGTTATTATCGAGTGACACAATAAGAATGTTGTCTGGCTTAATATCTCTGTGTAATATCCCATTGGTATGTAAATATTGTATCCCTTTTGCAGCATCTAAACAAAACTTTATCCGCATTTTCATATCAACTTCTGTTATCTTTTTCTTCTTTTTAAGATCACTTAAAGAACCGTACGGAGCAAATTCAGTCACCATACAAATCTTTGTTGGTATAAAGACTGCGCCATAGAAATGAACGATGTAATCACACCGGAATTTGTCTAACATCAATACTTCATTCTCAAACTCACTGTTTGTCTCAGAAGTCTCATTCCCTTGCTTCATCATCTTTATGGCTACAACGTTGTTTCTATAAGTCCCCATGAAAACTATGCCAAAGCCACCTTCACCAATTTGTTTCTCTTCATTCAACTCGTTTGGATCAAGGCGGGTTGATAGAACTGTTTCTGCTTGAATAGAAATTGTGTTGAGTGTCTCTTCTCCACTTTTAACATCTTGTGAAACTATAATTATAGTTCCTTTAATTGTAGAAGTGTAATTTGGAGTGATGTTCAGTTGAAACTCACAAGCCTCCCCTTTCTTGAGCAGCACTATGGCAGGAAAAACTCGGAGAGAGTATTTTTCTTCAGACTCTTTAATACTGAACTGCACCTTCATGAGTTTTGTTGAAATATTTCCAACACATATTGGTTGGGAAGTCTCTTGGCAGATTGGAATCTCTTCTTTATCGCGATTAAAATCGACTTCGGTGAGATTCACAACTATCCCATTTTTTAATGTGTTGAATTGTATATTGGATGTCTCGATTTTAAAGATGTTAAAGTCTTTTTGAATCTTTTTGAGGTGAATTGCCTTTACAACATGAACGGTGAAGTAATAGAGAAGTATACAGATAATTACAATAAAAAATAACACGACTATTACTATTAAGGTGATGACCCACCACTCCGCTTTCTTTAAACAATAAGTACCTTCACTACTTGGAGAATACCAAAAAGAACATTTTGAACATTTGGAATCACCAATTTGAAGACACTTTTGAACATTAGAAAGTGAGTTACATGTACTGTCAACTAAAATAAAACCATCTAAACATTTGGTGCACTCTAAAGCAGAATAACATTCTGTACAACAGGAGTTACACGATTTGCACTGATTGTTTTTGTAAGTGTAAAACCCCAACGCACACTTGGAACACCCACTTTGGGTAACTTCAACTCCACAACCTATGAGAGAAGACATCATGAGACATTCATTGTCACTTGACATGTAATAAGCTGAACTGCACGTCAAACATCTTTCTGCATTGTTACAAGTGGAACAACTTTCAGAACAATTTTTGCAATCCAGATCGCTTCTGTAATACCCGTCTTCACATTCATAACATCCATTACCTGTTAAAGAAAATGTTTTGCACTTCCCTTGTAATTCAGAATTTGATTTACACGTGTTTTCGTCGATATAAGTGCCCGAAGGACAAGAAAGGCATTGAGTCGATATGGACGAACATGTCAGACATGAGGAATCGCACAACTCGCATTTGTTCTTGTCGTTTGAATACATTTTGTCAATGCATCGAATGCACCCATATGAATTCTGAACACTACACTCTTTGTTTTGTTCTGAAGTACACATCCCATTATTTAATATGTAACTTTCTTTACATTCAACACATAGTCCATTTTCTATTTGTTTACAATTGGATATCTCAGTGACACACCTCCCATTCACATCACTTGATTTGTAGATATCTTGTCCGCATGTCTTTAGAACACATTTGTTGTGTGGAAACATCTCATAACCATTTGCACATTGTAAACACGTTGTTTGAGTACATTGTATACAATTCTCTGGGCATAAAGTGCAAGAAGTCCCATTTATATAATACTGGGAAGAACATGATAATACAGAAGATACTGTATGATCCTTTATTGTGTTATCTACTTCTTCACACTTGCCATTTCTATTTATGTACATCGAGTTTGGTTCACATATTTGGCATTCTGATACAGTACTTCCCGTCACCAAACAATTGTTTGTGATATTAACACATTTCCCATCAAGCAAAGACTTTCCTTCTTTACACTTCAAACAAACATTCTTTTCTGCAAAAATACAGAAAGCATCTTCTTCACAATTTCCATCGTTTAATAGATATCCATCTACACACTGAACACATTCCCCAGATGTTGAAGTGCTCTCGACACTCATACACTTTTTGCATTTTAAATCAGTGCATGGAGAACACAGCCGTAGTGTCAAATCAAATTTTCCTTCGTAACACTCTTTGAGCCGGTTACACTGAAACACATTATTAGTCACTTGACCAATATAACACACTGTTGTACCAAATATAAACCCATTTTTACTTGCTATAAATACACTCTTGGATACTGAAGTGACATTTACTGCAACTTCCGAGTCTACATTAATATCCAAGACAACATCATCGACATCGTCTAAGAGTATGTTATATCCAGCAACACTTAATACATTACTCACACTCTTTAAGTGATGTCTCGATTTTTTATTCGAACTTTTTGCACTGAAAATGGACTCAATAACAACTTGTGAAGTCTTTGGAACGACATACCACTCGTCTTCACTCGAAGGACAGTACTCTTCTATAAAATTACCTTGTTTTATTATTTTACCATATAAATGGCAGTAAACCGTCTTTGAAGTTCCATATCTCACAAGCTTCCCATCTTCAAGTAAAGTGGTTCCAACAATTTGTTGAGTAAATCCGTTTCTGACATAAGCCAAATTAAATTCCAAACTGCTCTTAATTTCAAGTGAATTTAATGTTAGTGTGTCAGTAAAGAAGATTGGAGTGTCTTTTATTGTTCTTGTTGAATTGATTATACACCCAACATCCAGTGTAGTTATATTTATAATAAAATAATTAGTCCCAGTAGTATATAGAGTGGAGTTTGTTTTACAGAGAAAAGTGGTAGCTTCCACTGCTTGAACCATATCGCTTCCATTCATTGTTATTGCGATGTTATTATACACAGAAAAGTCTGTAACTTTGATTAATGCGTTGTTACTGATTGCCAAAGTACTGTAGTCATACAATTGAAACCCTTTTAAAACAATTAATGAGGAATTATCTTCTAAATTTATGTTTCCATAGTAATTAGAAGTCACAGTTTCCGTTGTTATAGTCGAGTTGTCGTTCATATAAAAATAAGAAGTGTCTCTAAAGTAACTATTTAATGCATTAATGGTACTCTCCCCACTCATATACATTTTGCCTTTGTTCGTGACGTAAAGCCCTCCAGTTGGGGTCAAAACACTGTTTGATACAACACGAATAATTCCAGTGTCTCTCACTGAAATATCACCATTGATTGAGCACACACCTTCCCATGTTACATCTGCGTTTGTGACTGTGCTTTGCGAAGGACAATCTTCCTTTAATATACCACTTGAAACAACGAAAATAAGAAAGATAAGCAGCACATTCATAACAGTAAAAATTAAAATTACTAAATATACTTTTTTTAATAATTAAATTCGAAAGAACAAAACGTTGTTGATTTGCAAGTATAACTAATTCATTATTATTAGGGTATTGATTGAAAAGACAGAGAAGTACGGAGCCACATTCCGGGTAATAAACTTAACAGTTATTTTTTGGTTTATCTTTGTGGTATTAAATTAAGAGTTGAAAAAGAAGAAAAAATTGTGTCATATTTTACGAAAAATAAAAATAAATGATATAGTTACTAATGGCAACGTTAAATTCTGACGAAATAAAAATGGCACTTTAAACACGAAAATATCGGGTTTGGTATCTAATTCTTTATATATAATTTTTGTCGTTAAAAAATAATTTGAATTTAAAAAATGAATTTTTATTTAAATTTAAAAAAAAAAACTATCATAAATAAAAAATTGTTTGCCATTTTATCTATCAAAAATAAATGATTTTTATTATTATTAAAAATGCTAATTCTTTTTTGATATTAATAAATTGTTAAGTTGTTATTTACTCAAGGGTAACAAATTAAAAAATAATTTATCTTTTTAAAATTTATAACATTTAAAACTTTGTAAAATCAACGAAATTTTCAAAAATGTTTGCCACAATGTTAATGACAATTTTTTATTTACAATATAATAATTATAGTTCTTTTAATAAAATAAATTATTAAATTTTTCATTATTGAACTATAAATAACTTTAAAATATTCATTAAAAATTCAAGTTCGCAATTCATGGTAAGTAATAATCACTTATGCCGAAAATGTATTAAATTATATTATTATGACTTTATTCAAAAACCATATTTATTAATATATGATACCATAATAATTTAATATAAATTTATGAAATATTAAAATATGGATTATGGTTTAAATAATTAACAACTATATATGTATGATATAATTACAGTCTGTCTTTTAACGTTATCTGGTCTCAAACGTTATCTGGTGCCTTTTGGATCATAAAAATGGGAATAATTCGGGAAGCAGTCCCAAAAACCCATCCCAATTGTTTCGGGT